CGGTTCTCCGCAGTTAAAAAATTGTTTTGTGACACGTATTCATGCACGTAAACACAACGTGACTGTGCTAAGTTCTGTATATATACATATATATTTATACGAATGCATGTCAACTATTGTAACATAAATTAGAGAACTTTGTGGATATACAGGACTAATTCATAAAAATTATAAAAAATATACTAATCCAAGCAACAAATCGGCATACAAATTTTAAAACTTGAAGGATTTAAGCGTTGAGATTGCTGTACTTTTTTCATTACGAATGTCTTTATCACATACAAGCTTTGACTTTCCATGTGTGGCAATGTTACAATAGTTTTTGCCTATACATGTCTAGATAATCAAGTGTATATCATGTTTTCAAGGTACAAGAAAGAATTTCTAATACATAATTAACAATTATGAATTTATCTCCAAAGCAGGTTGAAATTGCTGATTCATAAGAATAGATGCAGTGCAAATGGTGCAATCTGTTGTACAGGTCAAACAGTGGTCACTGAACACACTTCGTTTTGTTATATTGTGACTATTTACAGGTTCACAAAAGAAACAAACAGCCATTTAACACCTGTAATTAATTACATCCATTATAATCTTTGTTCAGTGTCTGTCTTAAGGGGTTCATTTGGTCAGAGAGATCTCTATTTCTCTCATTTCCAAACACTTCAATAATTATGATGAAAAAAACAAGAGGTCGTATGGGCCTGCAGCACTCACCTGATATATATATATACCAACCAAATAAAATGCCTCTAGGCATTTTAGTTCACTAGAAGAAGTTGTTTAAAGTTTTTGACAAATTCGACCCCTGTGACCTTGAATATAAATCAAGGTTATTTCTTTTCGTAAATTATGTCACACATTTTCCTATGAACATACAAGCCTTTAGGCATTTAAGTTCAAATCTGACATCTGTGATCTTGAATGTAGGTCAAGGTCATTTCTTTCTACAAACTTTGTTGGGCTTCATCCTAGGAACACACCAGCCAAATACCAAAACATTTGGTCATATCATTATTGAGAATAAGTTGTTTAACAGAAAAAGATGGACAAAGTATTAATTGGTATTGAGAACGTATATTAAAATATGACAAAATGAAATTATTTCCTGAAGATTTTTGGTTTTATACACTAATCATCAGGTGTTAATAAGTGTGTATCAGCATGTGCCACAACACACTAATGTGCATTATGTAACAATCAATCATGGCATTTTCCTGTCATTTACTACCACCAAATTTCTCACAATCAAGAATCTAGCAAAAAGTAACAATCGACTTTTGTTATTTTACATATAGTCTATGAATTAATCCTGGACAAGCTGGTTCATGTAACTGCATTTAGACATGTCTGGTTGTTTCATCCTATTCAAAATAAATTTAGAAAGAAAATTAAGAGATATAAGTTTTGACAGTCATAAATCATTATGTAAATAATACACTATATATGAAGGTAAGTTTCACAATAAAATCTTTTAAATGTTTGTAAATGAATATAGGCGTGACCTGTGTAGTGTCTAATTAGGTCATGTGACCACGTTTCAGATTCAAAATAACTATACTCATCAGACTAAGCTAAAGGGGACAGGGCTAGCTTTTGCGCTTGTATGAGTACCAACGGGGACCAGATACCACAAAATACACAAAACTCTTTAGAATCCACTTATCTATCAATAAATGTTTAACACTGAGCTATATTGTGGCATCCATGTTTTCATTTTTGACAATATCTGCGAAAACTAAATTGACAAAATCTTTAAGCATAAATTTTTTGGTCAATTTTCGCACAGCTCCAGCTGTATCAAAGAGAATATGGCGTCATAAATCCGTAATATATTATAACATTCTCCAGTTTCTGAATGTTTACTTTGTCAACTCAAGCTGGTGCACTATATATTATGTAACACAGAGTCTTTAAAGCTTATCAGTTTGAATCTTGTATTTCATTTTGTCTGCGAAATATAGAAATTTATCACTGTGATAAAAACTTATTTCATCACTAATGATGATAACTTTTAAAGGGATGATATAACTTTTGTGATTTTGACCAATCAGAGCAATGCTTTCTAGTCACTGCATTTTCTTTTTATTAAATACGCAGTTTTACATAAGTTGTTGTAACATATGCTGAACACTATTAATATTGCTAGACAGTGTTAGAGTGTTTTTAAAAAAACTGTATTATTTCGAAATGAAACAATTACTGGTGTTAAAATGATGGAGTTTTGATGGAGTCCATGCATATCCAATGTTTTAAAACCCTTGTGTATATCCATTCAAAAACTTTTATTCAACAGTATTGCCAAAACCGTATAAATTAACACATCCCCTACTAATAATTAGCAATGTGTAATTGATGATATCTACAAAATAAGTCAATATATTCCACAACTTAGTTCCTGTTGTTGCTTATAATCCACCACAAATTAGTGTTTTTTTCATCCAAAATTAGAACTAAAGTCTTTCAAATTTATTTTGTTGTCCTTATTTGAGTTATCACCCCGCAGTCAAACAATATACCGGATACGAATGCAGCATTATTCATTACTGTCTGAGAAAACAAAACACAACTTCTTCTTAATACTGATGTCATTTTACAGTCTCACTTCCACTTCCTTAATGTGACGAGAAAAGAAAACATTAATTCTATTGTTCATTGTGAGTTTCCGTCATGTACAGAGGATTTAAAATGAAAGATAAAGACCTAATCTGTTTTAACCCAAGGTTTCTTTAATACAATAAACTTAAATTGGTTTCATTTCACAATGGAAATTGCTGTAATATCTCTGAATATAGTGAGAAATTTCTCGCTGAATTTTTTCAGTAAATATTTGATATGTTGTTTCTGGGTTTTAGCTATGGCTTTACAGGGCAGAAAACCTGGGCCTTATTCCAAATAAGCTTTAATTCATAATATGGCAAAAACCACAAAATATATGGTTTGCCCCTTAAAATTTCTTTTCCAACTGATAAATATTTCTTCCTAAAATGACGAAAAAAAAGGCCATGTTTATTGACTTCATGACAAGAGTTCACGTTGTTAAACAAATATTTCCCCGACAAAATTTCGTGAAATTGTAAAGAGTAATAACACGTAAAAAAATAGCTCTAGCAGCTTGCCTGTAGGTAGAATTTTTAAAAAAGACAAGTCCATTAAAGCAGGTAAAAGACACATATACCTTCAGCGAAAAAAAAAATCTTTTGCACAGACAGCAACTCAGATAATGGAGTGCTGATCCTTCAGGGGAAACACCACACTGATACCAAATTTCAGCAATATTAATGGAATACAAAGGTTGGATTCAACATGAAAGTCAAAACTTTACTTAATTTGAAATCTTGAATTATTTAAATTGTTAAGCTAATTAAGGAAATTCAAAAGTGATAATCCTAAATATAGCTAAATGTTTTTCGGGCTGACTCAACATGAACCTCACTATCAGATATTATCAGAATCTATATGAATAAATTCGCCAATGTCATAAATTTCAATGCAAAAATTTTTGACCAAAACTGGATACAGGAGAAAATCAAATCAAATAAATATATCCTGCCTCGCCCTTGGAATCTCATGAAAAAAATCAGAATCTGTCATAGACCTTAATGAAGGTTTTCATGAATAAATTTCTGGAGCCTCTAATGACGGAGCTGGAATGAATGAAAGTATAAACATTTCTTCCACCTTTTGAAATACAAAAATAATTTATTTTAAAATAATTGGGAAAAATTACTTATATCAGTCACTCATATTGGCCTGGATAGAAGCACATGAAAGGTCTTGCTGTGGGAGGAAACCAGAATATTCAAGGAAAACCCTTACAACTTGAACTTTTGATTTCCAATCCCCCCAAAAAACACACCAACCGTAAAAAGTTAAGTGTGGTAGATACAACTGAGCCAACCAAACAAACACTTAAGTCAATTAATTTTTAATTAATTAACATTTCTTCTACAACTGTTGTGAAAATTTAAGGTTCAAGCTACGATTTCATAATGAAAATATATATATCTATCATAAATGAGTAATTAGTGTCTTCCTTCGAGCAATTTCAATGAAGGATTTTTCACAGGATATTCAGAATGAAGAAGTTAGGAATGACAAAATTATCAGTTTCAAAATTGTTATTACAAATATGATACTTTTAAAAAGCGTTATGATGGGTAAAAATGGCCCTAAGTATATTTCATTCTTTTGTTTTAATCATGTAAAAAGTAACGATGATAAAAATACTTTGAACAATTCTTCATTTGAAATTTATTAAGCAGAGGAAATAAATTTGTTTAGAACTTGGAAAATACGATATTCTATAAGTAAACTTTTTTTAAATTCACAAAAAGAATGTCACCTATACACTACATATCTATCTTCTTTAAATCTTATCGTCAACAATTCAAATTTATCGTTAACTATGCTTGTGGAAACAATGGCATGGAAATTATATTTATATACAATTTGACCAAATTAATGAAAGTTATATCAACCTATGCATGGAGTTAGTTAAATTAACATTCTAATTATTCCAAATGAGAAATCCAGTGACTTTTATACTTTCATACAAAAGCTATGATAATCAACTTTCCAAATTTATCTAAAATAATGAACTGAAAAGTTGTCATCAAAATGCAAATTAACATGCATTTTATCACAGCTAATAATCAACACTTCTATTTTAGTTAACTTATCCACATGCACAGCAGCATCTGAGAACATAAATATAGATACTTTATAGTTGTCTTTCAATAATATAAAACAGTGAACTAGCTTCATTAATATTTTAAATTAAAATATTTCAAACTTGCATGTTGATTATCCTAAAAATCAAATTTAAACGAAAGTGCCACTCAAAATTTTCAGGTTTTTTCAAACTTTAGTTTATCAAAGACGTCATATGTTCTTACAGACATGTATGATTGTAACGCATAAAAAAAGCAAAAAATAATATTGAGAATCAGCGGAAAACGACAAAATCCTGATAAAACATGTTCGCATTTACTTACCTCTGTTCACGGGGCAATTTGAACTCTGTGTTGGCTGAGGCATTGGCGTGTTGAGTGGTGCGGGAGGCACGCTATATGGCACAACCCCTCGGGACAGGCTAGTCTGAGGAGGCGAGGGTCCCATGGGTCCCATGTGTCCATGCCCCTGAGGTTGGGGCGGGGGCATCGGAAGGTGTGGCTGGAGGTGGTCGCTGTAGTGCTGCGAGGGAGGTGTGCTCACCGTCGTGTCGGCCATGTTGAGATTCACGTTGTCCCTGTTTGTAGACATCAACCAATAAGTCAGTAATATCTTGAAATTTTCAAACCATGGGTCCATCTCATGGCAGTATGATAAAAGTGACTTTACATTGTCAGTGGATAGAACATCACAGATCGAAGGAGAAGTGAATGGCGAGGTCAATGCCAAGAACCACAACAAGCCATCCCAACCTTTCACGAGTCACTGCAGTTTTATCTAACTTGTCATCTGCCTAGCAGGCAAAACACATTTGTGCATGCACATTGCACCACGTATCATTAAGGATTTAAACAGTGGAAATTTCATAACACGATAACGCATTTAACCGGTGCTAAGACTTAACCTCCAAAACACAAGCATTATGATCACATAACAATGTTTATACAAGTTGAAACTCTCCAGTTTTAAGGAACCGAGGTGGCCAAAAGTATATTAAAAATGCTACATTCTCATAGAAAGTTGTCGCCTCATATTGCTTTTAAAAATATGATGGATATAAATGAATTGAGCAAATTATCTATAATATTTACATTCATATTTCTTTAGAGTCCATAGTTGATCCATAGAGAGAAAATTTTGGCATTAATTCAAACTTTGCCCACAATTTTAGCAAATATTTTAAATAACAGTAAAACTCTCCTAACAATCTACAATCATCCGGGTTCACATGTAATAAGTTTTAAAATGTTATCTACAAATATCAGTTAAACTGCCAAGATGATATAGCCGTGGTAAAAATCATACACCAACATAAAAGAAATATCAAAATATATCAGTTTTCAATCCGCAAACTGCATGCACACTGTCCTATTTTTGAAATAAGATCAACATACGCTAAGAAACCAGAACGCCCATGTTCAAAAACTGCACCTTGTTTACGAATGCACACATGTGCAGTTGGTGCATGCTCAAAACTTCTCAAACCGACATGTTCACCTGAGTAAATTTCACGTAAACCACTCGAATGTGTAAGTCGGTTATATAACCGGAGAAACTTGATCTTAACTCCACCTTTGAGAATGTATCCTGCAGGTTGTACTTAATAGTTACAAAAGATGTTCATGTCCATAGGATAAACCACACATATTCCCTGTCTGTTGTTATCAATGGTAAGTTTTCTCTCCAGGTGAGGCCTCTAAGGCACTCGTCACTAGACAGGTATCAATACACAGTTGTAGTCAGCACTTACATGTATTACATAACAAGTGATGCACCTCAGTGACTCTGTGCACCACGCTGTACACACACACACACACTGTCCAATACATTACAAACACCAGGGTAGAGCTTTAAAATCCAATACAGTCCAGAGCGACATACCATCATATACCACGCATAGAGACACTACACCTTTCAAGATCCTTGGAGTAGTAGAATCATATATAGCTAGCACTTCCCTTACTTAAGCTTCCACACCCCTTATCACACTGTCATAGTGTGGTCATTTCCTTAATGGTCAAAATTATCACATGTCTATCACAATCATATCATCTCAAGTCAGAAACAGTCTAGATTTGCCATGTAAATCCCCGGGCGCGCCTGCTGCACACGCTCATTGGGTTTTCTTTAACATGCAGTTGTATGCACCAGGATAATAAATTCCCCAATAATATGCAGCAAATCAATTCCTTCTCTCGATATGCAGCTGCAAAATTTCCATGTGTGCAGTACAACTCGGGCTGCTAACCTCTGCAGCTGAGATAGTCTGACTGCATGTACATCTCTACAGCAAATTGTAACAGCTTAAAATGCACACACACACACATGCACACTGCAATGTGCAGTAGAAAGCATGTCTCCTATTATCACCTAATTTTTTACATTTATATATAGCATGTTTAAATTTTCATTAGACTATCTGAGGCAGGACAGCCATTGCATTATATATATATGTGTGGCTGCATGCACTCAGTGCAGTAGACTGCAGGTAGCTACATAAATCAAACAGTAAAATATGCCAGATGTGTTGGTTACCATGACAAAAGTGTTGACAAATGAAATAACAAAATTTAATTTTATTGTAGTGTATGACAGTACCATATGAGAAGTCTCTGAAGTATGTGCATCCTATAAAATGTATGCAATGTGCTTGATAGGATTGAAGATATACAACAGACTGTGTTTAACAGTATATACATATAATATAAAAATTATCAGGTTATTTGAACCGTTACAGCAACAAGCGTAGGTACAAAAATAGCATTACAAGTACAGGTGTTGTCCAAAATAAGTAGTGACATAAGTAAAGATATTAAACTCAGCCTAAGGTAAAATATCAATGAATATATATATACCATGTACAAACCGTAAACCACAAACCTTGAATCTCCCTTCAGATTTTCAGCTAGTAAGAATGAATTTAAATAACCAGTGATGCTAAATCTTAATTCTGAAGTTCCCCCTAAAAATGAACATTTATGTTATTAAATCATGAAAAGAAGAAATAAGAAAACTGAACCAGAATATAAAACTTGTAGGACATTTAATTCAGTCAACGAGAGATTTGAAAGGGAAATGTGTTACCCATCATTTAATGACCTATAAATTTACGTTATAATTGTACTTTGTATTCACAGGTGAATAAATCCAATCGTAAGTTAACAAACAAGGGCGTTATGGCAACAAGAGTACCCCACATCACATGAAATTATAGTAATACTCTTCCTACATTTTCTTTGGTTCATATGATTACATTCTCCTTGTAAAAACCACATAACATTCAAAATCCAATATGGCCACCTGTCAGCCATATTCATTCAGTCTCTAATCTTTATATTCGTCCCAAAGTTGGTGTAAAACTATGAAACAAGGGGAATAAAAAATGGGAAGCTACCAGAATACCATAAGTGGCCATTGGTCAGTTGTTTTATTATCGGTCATTATTGTGCCACCTGTGACTACTGAACGCCTGCTATAAGTTTCTCAACCTCTAAAACCTCCAACATTGGAGAAGAGATGGTACTGAGTTTTTTATTAGTACCTGCCCGTCATGTGTTTGTGACTGAAACAGATTGTCTAGAACCATCATTTGCAATCAGATACAAAATTATTAAAATAAAAAAAACATTTTCGCAGATCTAACGAGTTATACCTTTTAATAAGAATTACAATAGTATCTGCTGAACTTTCGCAGCTACTTCAAAGTCATAGTGGAAGTTTACAATGGCCCTTTGCATCCTGGGGTCTTTAGGTCATCGGATTATCTAGGAAATCTAGAACATCAACCATGCTTGTTTACGATATGAATGGCTTCATGTAACTTACAGGAAGAGATATGGGACTACAAGAATGCGGACAATATGCAAGATCCTTGGTTGATGTTTAACAGTACAGACACCAATGGAGAGATTGTTAAGTAAACTGTAAGTAATGTCAGGCCCTATATCTGTGCACAGACAATATGTGAAGGCACTCATGCCAAACATGTTCGATAATTTCTGTTTCATGTTTTTTTAACTACATCAGTAACATAAAGGATTATCAGTGTATAATTCATTTGCAAACTTTATCAAGTTTCACCGTTGATCTTGGTAATTTACCCTTTGTTGTCTGTTATATCAACAAACTTCGATCAACGTAACAGTTACCACTTCATAAGAACTGCCTTGCGTTATCTGTTACCGGTATATCAAACATTAAGGATAGTGGTCACCAAATCATAAGAAAGGGTGCGGCTTATATTCCAGTGCAGCTTATATGAGGATCAAATAAAAAAAAACCTGTAAAAATCGTCTATGTGGCTTATATACCAGTGCGGCTTATAACCCCATAAAATACAATATTAGATTCTCGAAGCATATTTGAATAACTGTAACCTTGAAATATGTCCACGTCACTTTAAAGAGAAAAGTTCTTATCCACTACCCTGTACTATTAATACCTTAAGATCATTGGGTCATCAGGGAGATTGTGAAAGTTTTAAAGCTATTTAACCACAGTGGCATTGAAAAAGGTCCAGGTTTCAGGCACCAACTTGTTTATTTGAAGTATTCTGGGTCTTCTGAAACTTGTGAAGATTATCAAATTGCTTCAACAAATTTTACACTGGTGAATATGCAAATAGGTCAAGGTAATTTAATGTGGAAATTTTGTAGCATTTTAACCCTGTAGGTACCTTATGACTAAATATCAGTATCCTTGGTCCTCTGGAAATTGAGAAAAAGAATCTCAAATGCTTCTCTACATATTGGACCACTGTGACCTTGAAAATATGTACTCAAATGCTTCTCTACATATTTGACCACTGTGACCTTGAAAATATGTAAAGACATTTAAGTACCTACCAGCCTAAGATCAGTACTCCAGATTATATGAACCTGAAACGGATTTTAATACATGGATGGGATGTTAACCATTATGCACTAACTCCTGAATAAATATGGTAATGCCTTGTATTTTAAAAAGCAAATGTAAATTGAACTTAACAGAATGTGTCATACCTGACAGGAATTAATAACCATCATAACTGATGATAACCGAAGTTGGTCATCTATTTTTACCGTGTGAATCAGTTCAGGTACATCGACATTTCTCGCACTCTACTAACCAATATAATAAAGTAGGTAACATACTTTTACAACCTGTTTCAGTTCACGTACACCGACGTTTCTCGCACTGTACTAACCAATATAATAAAGTAGGTAACATACTTTTACAACCAGGTACACCGACATTTCCAGCACTGTTCTAACCCAATATAATATAGTAGGTAACATACTTTTACAACCTGTTTCAGTTCACGTACACCGACGTTTCTCGCACTGTACTAACCAATATAATAAAGTAGGTAACATACTTTTACAACCTGTTTCAGTTCAGGTACACCGACATTTCTCACACTGTACTAACCAATATAATATAGTAGGTAACATACTTTTACAACCTGTTTCAGTTCAGGTACACCGACATTTCTCACACTGTACTAACCAATATAATATAGTAGGTAACATACTTTTACAACCTGTTTCAGTTCAGGTACACCGACATTTCTCACACTGTACTAACCAATATAATACAGTTGGTAACATACTTTTACAACCTGTTTCAGTTCAGGCATTTCCTCACTGTATTAACCAATA